GTTGCACAAGACTGCCTCACCTCCTTGCTCATTTTGTAATGCTGCCTCTGTAATTGTTTTAATTTCATCCATAGCCATTAATGCACGCTTACTTAAGCCTGTTCTTCCTAATTAATTAACCACAGTCCCAAGAATGGCTTCTTTTGATGCAAAAGAACCAACTGAGCTTTCTTTCCTCCTAATCTGCTATAACCAGACATTTGAAAATGAAAACCACCACAAACTTCTGAAATCAGATGTATGCACACATTCTTCATATAAGACATCTTTTTTTACCATAACAGGCACATTTGCACCATGGAGACAGAATTTTTTTTTTTGCCTCTGCAGGATAGTTTGCTCAGACTGTGAGCCTTTCCCCCTCAGAGAAAGCAACATCTACCTGAATAAACCTGGATTTGAAGCATGAAATATACGTTGGAAATCAGAAATCACTCTTAGAGTAATGGACAGATAAAGATTTCACAAATACAAAACCTCCCCTCAGGGTTCTTCAAGAACATTTCCTGCTATGCTTTACTGGTTTATTTCAGCCACAGGAAGTGTAGAACCTGCCCTGCTCAAAAGAAGCTGCGGATCTAAGGGAAGCAAAAAAATCCCAAAACACAATTTCCACCTTAACTAATCTGGTAGTTCAGCTTTCTAGTCCCAAAAGGATCATTAGCAGAAAAGTTATATAAAATTAAAGAAATGCCCTATACCACACTAAGCTAATCATTTAAGCTCCTTTAATAGACAAAGAAAAGAGCTGATATTGCTGGCTTTAACTCCTCTCATTTGAAATTTTATAAAAATTCAGAGGGATCAGGCTGGTGAAGTCACTGTCTGTTCCACTGATTTCAGTGAGACTCAAAATATTAGCTAAGACATCAGTGTTGATGGCAAGATAAGGTAAATGCCATCCAGAGGTTAAATGCAGATCTGAAAACATATTTGGTTACTTAACTCCCTGCTCCCCTTAATATTAGTATTTATGTGATTTAATAAATGTAAAGTAAATTTTGTGGCCAAGGAAAGGAACTCAAGTATCCCAATTCCTTGCCTATCTCCCAGGCCATTATATTAGACTTTTCATAGCCCCATTGACTTCAGTGAAAGCATTCAGCAGTGTCCACACAGATGAAACACAAGTAAAAGTCCTCACAGTGAAACACAATCTCATATCACAAATCTAAAAGGGAACAGGTGCAGGTAATTTCTCTGTAGAGGTTCTAACTCATCAGAGGGCCATGACTTAGATTTTAAAGCAACCAACTGATGCAAGGGAGGAAACCCGACTTTGTTATTATAATGCCACATGTATAAAGAAAGTTACACACACTTGCAAAATATTTGGACTGTACAGTTGGTATTTACATTAGTGAACCCCCAAATCCATTAAAACTATGAATGAAAGCAGCACTAAGCATGAAAGCAGTAAAATACAGAAGAAACCTGGTCCAAGTTTAGGTGATGTGACCAGACAAAAGTAGGATGAAACCACAAACTCTTCACAAAAGAAATCCCAGAAATACATGACAATCTTACTTAGAAGAACATTTTTTTTCCTGGCCCCTAAACTGGATGATTTATATAACCTTAAGTGCTTAAAAAAAACACACCTGAGAATTTGTGCAGTACCATTACATGCAGGCTGCCAAACATCCCATCACGACTGCAACCAGACCTTGATAAAGCAGAGCAAAACACAACAAAAGTTCTAAAGAGAAAATTAAAAAACTAAGCTACCATCACAATTTAACATCCTGCACTACACTTTGCTTTGGCTGTTTTGTTGTACAATTTTCTTTATGAAAGCCAAAATAACCTTTATTCTGTAACAGCCAATCAAGCATCTGGTGAATCTGAAGGAACTTTCAATTCATCATCCTTAGAAGACTTAGTCTGCATTTTAAAATTTCTTCCCATACACATTATATTTTCTTCTGAAGTGAATTAGTGTTTTCTGAACAGACATTATAATCAAAGTAAACCCTATAACAATAAGGCACAAATGATTTGACTAATTTTCATTTTTAAAGCAGATGAAAATTTACTAATAAAAATACATACCATAAACCATAAGTTTAAAAATCTTATAGATGTAAGACCTCTGGGAATGGTTGAAATACAGATGCACATTATTATGCAATTCTGGCAGGAAATATACTTTGTTCTAAGTGGAAGTTGAGACAGGTCAAGGAGGTATTGAGATGATATCAGTCGGAAACTGATCTGTATGCTTCACAACACTGACTAACAAAACTCTGAGTTACTTTCCATTAGTGATTTTCTTCCCTATCTTCCATAATTACACCAGAATAATCCAGCTAGAGCACATCCCTAAAGAACTTCAGCACTGCTTTTATTACACATTAGGACACGATTAATAACAACAACACTTTGTTTATTTTGTTTGTTTCTACTCTAGGCTATTTCCAACCCAGAATGAGAATCATTGTTTGTGTTTGGGGAGTGCAAAGCAAGTGCTCCAGTAGAGAGAAGTGAGATTCAAAAGTGATTCACATTTGACAGTGCGTTTTGCCACTGAAAACTCTGACAGCTGAAGTGGAAGAAATATGTATAAAGAAGCTTAAAACAAATCTGCAGTCCTTCTGGATTATGAAGTCCTTCTACAGTATGCAACAGCTTTGTTGTATACACCCAAGTGCTAATAATCTCTGTTCAAAAGGAATACTGTGCTTTAACAGAAATTAAATAATCTGCAAAACTCCATGTCGTCAATGACATTCAGGAGAGAAAAGGATGGTGGGAGGGAATGGCAACTGCAAATCCCTGAATCTCTTGTTGCATCAGTTGTGCCAGGAACATTCAATGCCTACACAAATTGAAGAGCAGGGCCCACAAAACCTTTGTTTCACAGCCAGCACAGAAGAGCCAAGAGACCTGATATGGCTGAGCCACCCTTCACATCAGCTTTGAAAAGCTGACACATAAAAATGCATTTTATGATGGGAAAAATCCAACCATGACTGTAGTTGGGCTACGTTCTACTATTGCATTTGAGTGGCTTGTTTAATTTCCCTTCTGTATGATTAAATTGTAATTAACAAAAACACATTACATGGAAATTTTTCTACTTACATCCATATACATGTAAGCATAATCACAAAGGTTTTAGCATGAACATGTTGCAAGTTCCTACTTATCTGGAACAAAAGCTCAATTCATCTTTGTTCATGAAAAATGGTCTAGGACCAGCCCAACTTTGCAGAAAATTTTTGGATCATGTGGTGATTAAAATCTTTTACAGAATTCCATTTTTTCTTCCACTATGGATTTCTCCAATCTCTTATATCTGTAAAGAGGCAGTGCTGGCATTTCTGCCTTTTAATGTGGCACTCCAGAATTTGACTAGAGTCTACTAAAGTACCTGCACTATACCAGCAGCACTGAAGTTTTAAAATTACAGTATTTGTCAAAACCATTTTTAATTTAATTTTTCAATTTTCTTCTCTTCAATAAAGATTTCTTCTTGTTTGCTCTTTCAGTCAATGTTTTCCCATCTTTCTACATTTTAGCACTGTGGGAAAAATGGTTTTAAATTTTTAAAATATAAATATTCCTAAACTTTTGATTTTCATTCTTTATAAAAGAATTGTAAGTACGAAAATTTGAGCCAGTTCATATTTTGGACAACTGAAAGATCTCAACACTATTTTTTCATGCCTCTCTTCTACGCTGTCATCCACTGATATCCACTTTATTCAGATTCAAGGCTGAGTGTTCCCCTCAGTCTAGTATTAAGAGATTTTTCAATTGTTTAGCTAAAATAGGCACAAATAACAGATTAAGATGGATGAAAAATACAACAGAAGAGGTGCTATCATAAAATCTCACATTCATGGCAGACAATGCTCCACATTTAACCAAAGCCCTCTTTACAAGTGAACATGTTTTTTTAAGATTGCACATATTTGAGAAGCATTCTATACTACAAGAACATGTACTAAATGCTGGTTACTGATCCCTGGTCTCCATGTTGAGCAACATAAAATAAAACATCCTTACTTGTTGGACTTAGTCAGACTATTGATGTGGATGAAAACTGCTATTGATTTCCACATGAACTAGAACTGAAGCTTCTAACAGAATACTCCTCACAGAAGCCTTGCACTGGGAGAAGAAGAAACCAGAACCCTTCAGATAAATCATGACAATAAACCTCCACAGACCACTAGCTGAAATTATACTAACCTGAAAAGTACATAGCCAATGTCTCTCTGGACTCAGGCATCTTTTACATCATGATGCACTTTACGACTTTATATAGGAAATCAAAGAGTGCACTGGAGAAGGGAGGTTCAGACACTACGCATTGAGTAATACACATACCTGATCAAGAAACCCATTTCAGGAACATCCTTTGTTAACCTGGCACATTCTACATGTGGGAACATGCCATGGTGCATCTGCACAGCCTGCAGAGCAAGCTTCCCTGGCCAGGTGTCATCTCCTGCCCTGTTCAGGAGAGTCCCTGACCCATGGCAGCAAACACAGAGAGATGTGCTTTTGGGGTGCTGAGCCAAACAAGCAGCAGTCTATCCCAGAGGGAATATGCCTTCTCATGGCACATGAATATCATTCTTCACACACAGCTTCTGGCTTGAAGATCAGCTTGAAGTTTTACTTGGGACTTCAGCTTTAGCTCCACATTAGGGGCTTCAAAGGTTGACTGAAACAGTCTGAGTTACTCAGCTACTTTCTAGTGTTACTTTCCTATTGCATCTTTGTGAGTGTGAGGCAGATGAGATGTATTCAAATCTTATATATCCAGAACAGTCTGGACCCTTTTTTTCCTTTCAAACCAGGCCACAATAATCCAATAGGGAGCATGTAAATAAGCCAGTTACATTGAAGTCTCATCTTCACAATGATGAACATAGATAGTAAAACTAGAAAGGAAAATTAAACTAGAGGCGTAAGAAATATGATCAGACCTGTGCCCTGAGCATAAATCCAGAACTGCAGTCTTCAGTATTAGAGTTATATTAACTGACCTGTGAGTTTTTCCAGAACATCAAATCCATGTTTCAGAGCAATGATATCAAGAAAAGAGACTGTACCATCTTCAAACCTAAAGAATGGAATAAATGAGCACAGTAAATACAACATGCAGCTATGGTACAGATTTTAAATCTATTTTAGTAGTTACTATTTTTATATTCAGTGAATCTAACTTGCAGAGTGGGAACTCTTCCCTGAGGGATTCATCTCCCAGTCTTGTAGTGTCCTGTGGCAGAAAGATATGTTCTTCAAAGCAACAGAAGTTCACATAAACAGTTGCTTGCCCATAGAAAGATAGAATTTTCTCCTACATAGAGTAACTATGTACTAACCTACATTAAAGTAATGGTTAACAGTTATATGTCATGAGCTAATGTCACAAACCTAAGTTACCTTCTGAGAATTTAGGGAATAGGTGAGAAAACAGGTGGAGACTTGTGTGCATTCCCCCCCTCCCCAATGTAATTACACAGTTGAGTTAGAAGGCTCCAGTAATCTGGTGCAAAGAGGAATCAGACAAAGAGATCACTAACAAATCTCCCTCTGTGAGCCTCTCCTGGAAATTAATTTTTAACTGACCTGCAACAAGAGCATTATACAAGGATGGGGGAAGGGGTGCATCCCCTACCATCATCTTTTAAAGGAAATGCCAAATAGAAGCAAAACCACTGGACTTTATGAACTACTGCAGCCATTCCCACAGTCCAAGAGGAGAAACTGAAGCTGCAAGGTGAGAATATACTCAGGAACTGATATACAAAAGTATTCAAGGGACGAGAAGGGACACCAGGGAGGCATCAAAATGTTTCATTTAGGCTTTGTGGGCACCACAGTCCAAAAGCAGTTTTAAGGAGAAATCATTAATTTTGTTTCACCACAAAGAAGAATGCAGAATAATGCAACTGATGCAGTCAGAACTGTACAGAACTCAATACTTTGCAAGGCTGAACCTGGGTCACAGCAAGTCTCTCAGGAAGGAGCTATGCCCCAAACTGTAACAGTTACAGCTGGAAATGAACCCGCCCCAAATCTCATGGTTCTAGTTTAAAATTAAACTCCAACCATGAGGATGAGACTGCCAGAGGGAACTGGTGTTACTTGGATCTTTCTCAGAAAGATCAGATGATATCTACATTGAAGAATTAGTGGACAAGGTGGAACATAAGACAAACACTCTTGGGCAAAAATACTTTGAATACGTTTTTCACCAGAAAATAGATGATTACATTTTTTTTCCTGGGTGCATAATTTTTCAAAATGCATGTTAAAACCTTTTGGTGCCACAAGTATGTCTTGTGAAAAGGCTCAAATTTTAAAAATGTCATATATCAAATGCTTTTATTTTAATAAAATAAACATCAATAGGATAATATAATAGCTCTCACTTCTGTCATAACTTTTCTTCCTATTTTATTTATCTATAATTATCAAATATTTTCAACACTGCAGGTGACATCAGCAGGTAAAGAACATATTAACCTTCCAAAAATCTTCGGTAAAGGGCCACACAAAAAAAAAAAAAAAAAAAGCAAGAATATTGTGTATATATCATACTCTGTTCAGCTGCAACAAAAGAAGATAGAGGCAGCAAATAATTATAAACCATGTGATAAGAGAAAAGTGGTGCACTGCTACAAGGATGAATGATCCAAAAGAGATCACTTCTGTTCACATATTTTAACATAGCATAGGCCAAAGAATCCATCCTAGAAATGTCTGAATCTTCCCAACTAATTAATAATAATTGATCTTGAACTTTGGAGAAGAATTCTTGTTGGTTGTCAGTGATGAAATGTAAAATGGCCATTTGTGATTTGAAAGAGACCAGGAATATTATCAAAGAGACGTGTGGATCAGTATCTGAGGGAAGCATTACTCTATCAAAAAAAACATTAAAAAATGTGGGAGGATGAGGAAGAAAAGATAAGGCAGAGGCTAACAGTTGTTTTGGAATTGAGTACAGAAACCTTTAGCACTGGTTGCAGAAGAGGTCACAGTGGTCCCACACATCTGCCAAGGAGAGATTATACAGAAGATGCATGAGGGGGAACTGTCCTGCCCTGCTCAGTTACTCACAGTGGCCAGCAAAGCAAACAAAACACTGGGAACTGGAACAGAGCAGAGAGACACTGGCACTGAGCCCATCAAGGAGACTGCACAATCCCCAACAATTTTATCACTATCATAGTGATAAAACTGTAGAAAAGCACTTGAAAGGGCAACAAAGGTGCCAGCCTAGAACATCAAAGACATCTGAGTTGTACCCATAGCAAAAGGGGAGGGAACAATTGTATTTTTGTTTACCAGACTGGATTATTAACTAAGCAGAAAATTGCAGTACATCCAGTGCTACACAATAGGAGATATGCATGGAGATATGCATGTCACTCTTCTAAGATCTTAAATATTTTTATGAAAATAGTTCAGAGCTTAGGAATCTTCACTCAAATTTAAAAAAAAGAAAAAAAAAAGAAGGTAAATAGAGTTGTAGGCTTTTGGTAAAACCTTATGGTCCAGAACAGCCCAATTGTGGTATGATATTTATCCTGCATTTAGTCTTTCAGTATCACAAAAAAAAAAAAATATTGCCTCCATGGCAAGAACCAGAAGCCACAGAAGAAAATAAAATAATGCTAAACATATCTGCTCAAAGATATGGCAAGGCTCCCTTTCTACAATTTAGACATGGACTATTTTGTAAAATTCCTGTCTTCTATTTTGTTTGTTCATATGGTCCCCCCTATTCCTACATTACCAGCTTCCCTGTTCTGATTAACAAAGCACAAATATGTGTTATTCCTGTAATATGTATATCTACACTACTTCCAGTGCAATTGACTCTCACGTATCCTTTAGATTTAGTGTATACCTGGTGTTGAACTTCATGTCAGAATTTTCAGGAATAATGTATCAATTCTGATATTTAGCACATCAAGCTTTAAGTGCTATAGCAGTAGTGCCATGGCAAAACATGATGCTGTGAAGGGCAGCTGTTCCCGTCTTGGGACACAAAGAGCTGTCCCTCAGAATATTTAACCGTATTTGAGATTGAGAGGAAACATTCTCCTTGAATTGCAAAACACTGGTTTCAATGGCTATTTTTCTGTTTGGTGCAACTGATGCTTCAAATAAGCTGTTTCCCCACTCAGTGGCAGTTGCAGTGTTAGAATAATCAGTTCAGGATGAAGTTCATTTGAATGCTGGTCTAGAAGCCACTTCCTGAAGTAATCAAGATTTTGCAGCTGATGATGTATAAAGGATACTTACAAAGGCTAATACTGTGGAATACCAACCCAAGGAACAAGAAGCTTACCTCTCTTATCTAGTTCTTATTATAATTGATCTCACTTAATCACGTCTGGGATGAGCTCAGTTGCTTAGCTGATTGTGTTTGTGAAGCGCTAATAGCATTTCACATCCAATTGCTATCTGACAAACTGACTAAGCAACTCGTGGCATAACAAAGAACAGAGCAGCATGCTTAACATCTGTCCAGGAGTTATGAAGCTGATGAACCGCTCTCCCTTTCCATGTCACACAAAAACTCTGCTTTTAGAAGCAAAAATTTTTGAGTCACAAGAGAAAAGTATTGCTTTACAGTGAGCAGTCCTGCCTTTAGGATCTTCCTAGGGATGGAGATGGGCTAGTCTTTCTTTGAATCTATATTCAACTGATTGTTATGACACTTCTCTGTTACACTTCTGCATATAAATGGTATTTTCTAAAGTCACCATCCCACACTTCAGGGCAACTGAAATACAGAAGGAAACTCTGACATCTTGGACAGTTTCAATTCATTCTGCCCTTGGCCAGGGCACCTCTACACAAAATATCATTACAAGAATTCTGGCCTGAACAGATGTGATAGGAAATAAAGTGCTGAAGGGCTAAAAAAAAAATCCTTCATATTTGAAAAGAGGACCTAGAGAAAATTTCTTGGAAGGCAAAAATATTACCCTGGAGTTGTATAGCCTGACTTAAGACTTCAGAAATTCCCTCAAGACCAACCAACCAATGCTGAGGTGGTGAAATATCTTTATAATATAAGCAATTCTGCACATACAAGGGCTGTCTTTTAGGTGATTTGGGTGGAAGCATCTGTTTTCAGCTTGGAGATGCTGACTTGTTTAGCAGTCAGATGAGTGATTGAGTTGTGTGAGGTTTTTGTTTTTTGGTTTGGGTTGTTTTTTTTTTTTTTGGGCTTTTTTCAATTCATTTGTGCAGATAAAGTAAATCCTGTACAGACATTCTGTCTGTGCATAGAATGGCCTATGGCTTCATAGGCTACCATGTTAGAGGGAACCTCAAGAATCATCTGGTCCAACCTTTCTTTGCAAAAGCATGGTCTAGAGAAGATGGCACATTTTGTGCAGCTAAATCTTAAAAGTGTGAAATGTTGGGGAATCCAACACTTTCCCGAGGAGATTATTCCAATGGCTGATTGTTTTCATTGGGAATGTCCAGTCAGAATCTCCTCAGGAGTAACTTGTACTCCATTAGCCCCCATATTTCCCATGTGATTCCTTGAATAAAATGGAGTTTCCATCTCCTTTGCAGCCACCCTTTAAATATTGGAATATGGTAATAAGTTTTCCCTTCTAAAATCTAAACCACTTGTCTTACTAGTCACCTTCAGCATGCTCAGCAAGATCCCAAAATCCACAATATTGTGATCACAAAACCATTGCTAGAGATATAGATAGCAGTTTTTCTTGGTTTGTGTGTGGCAAATCCAGCAGAGCCTCTTTCCTGGCAGGCACAGCTAACATATGTATAAGGAAGTGGTTCTCCACACATTTCCAAAACTTGATAAATCATATGTTAGCTATTCTTTGTTCTTCCAGTAAATGTTTAGGGTGTTGAGGTCACCAACCACCAACAGAGTTCTAGGTGATTTGATGCTTGCTTAGGTGACCCAAATATTGCTTTGTTGGCCTTACTGCCCTGGTTTGGAGGTCAATAGCAGACGCCTCCTGTAAGATCCTCCTCGGAGATGACCCCAGTGATCTTGAACCAGAGGCATTAGATAAGTCTTCCATAATCACTGTACTTCACTTCTGTCCATTCAAG